GCGCGGGGAGACATGTTAAGGTGGCGTGTGCAGGGACATAGTGTGGGCATGGAATTGTAGTGGCGTTGCATTCTAAGCCATGCTTTGCTCGCACGCTTCTGGGGCATGTCTATTATTCGTGTCCACTAAGCATGTGCGCACCCAAGCATGTCAAAGGCAGGTTAGGGTCACAGACATATCTGTCTGACCTAACTGGTCGACCGTTTCCCAAGGCCAGGTCACAAAGGACCTTACGGTGGTGACTGCTTACGCACAGACACTCCCTGAGCCGGCGACCTTAGGGTCGGTTTCAGAGATCCAGACCCGGCGACTGCATCCGCCGGAATGCGCCTTTGGACGCCGGCCCACTCACGGCTGGATTGCACTCATGTGGGAGTCACTTACCCATTACTCACATTCTACCCCTTCTGCATTTAATTAAATTATTCATAACACTCTGGCCTTCCACGACTTATCTTATCTATTAGTTCATAACCGTTGGGATAAGCTCTATCTTCCATCATCCGGCCGGACTACTTCGTATCCTGCAGACCGATCATAAGTGCCATCCCCTCCCACCCCCATTTACGCGTAGCCAACGTTTGCTGCTTTCTCCTTTTCTCTGACGATGGCCTGTCGTGTGGAGACGAAAGCTCAGAAGAATAAAAATGCCGTGCTAGAGATCGCACCTTCTCCTTCTTTACAAAAATAAACTGTCGACATTTGAAACTTCTTATCCCTGGTGAAATATTAAAAATTGTATAAACAGCAAAATTTAATAAAGTGAACACCCAGTGTAATAACCGAAAGGAGGATACAGATTGAGAGCGCTACGAAGAGGCCCACAGCGATTTTGCAGCCCAAAGTGGCTTTGTGTGACTCTGATATTTGGCTGTTTGTGATTGACGGTGCAGCCATTGGTTCCTCCTCCGCATGGTCCACGATATCGTAGGTTGTAGAGTTTGAGGGCATCACCATGAAATCTAAGAGATGTATTGCCATTGCCTGGGAACGATTCTCGCATACGGTAAGGGAGAAGAGGGATTGAGCACTCTTGAAATTGATGGATCCATTAAATTTTGCTGTTTATACAATCTTCAAAACTGTCGACAGACAGCCTGTATTATATATTGACTCTCTGCTGTCACTATGTCGCGGCATGTAACCTATAACTCTGTCGATGTATGCCTACTTCAGGAAGCCAAATTTTCAGCATAGTTCTAATGTTGAAAGTCGTTCGGGTATTGATTTCCGACAAAATTAGTGTTCCGTGACTGGGTTTATATTCTAGAGTAATCACGTTCGTCTCGCAGTTGTTCAGTTGTTTGAGATAAAACTTAAAACCCGGCTTTTTGTGGGAAGCAAAAAGAACCGATTGATCTGCTTTCCTGAAACCGTCGAATGTGACCTCCCACAGCTAAAGAACACGCTTCTTGAGAATTGATACCCATAAATATTCATTGTCAGGCATATTAGTGAACGCACCAAAAAGCCTACTATCTTAATCGCAGAAAAGAAAATCCTGTTCGTAAGAATGCCTTTCTTAGGCAATGCAACAAGCAAGCAGATAAGATGACATCTAAAAATTGCGATCACTAGCACTTTTTCCACGGCGAACTTACAAGTGTTCTTCACGAAATCTCTCCTTCCACGATTAGGAGGTCAAGACCGACTCCAGTTGAAGGCCACGTCCATGTGCATTCACTCTTTCAGTCACTCCTGTGAAGCAAGGTACATTGGTCGAACAACGAATTGCATGGAAAAGAGCGTACGTTAACGCATACGGGCCCAGTTAAGTTGTAGTGAGGCTGTCCGACCCCCTTCATTGCTTTTTCCGGCGTCATTGTTCAAGGCCAGTTGCCCCAAGGTCATCCAATAGCTCAGTCAACGCTTACAGACGGACTGACCTGCAGCGACTTGACCTACTTCCACTCGGACACACACACACGCGTGCGTCTAGATTCTCGCGGCTGCCCAAACACCATTCAAACATGTCCCTTTTTCCCCACCTCGGCCACCAGACGTCAATTAGGACCACGGCGCTGCAGCGGAATGACGTGTGCTCCGAAGTCCCACTTCTTTCCATCTATTCTTCGTGCCTTTGTGTACACGATAAACTATTCTTTCTATTCTGGCCTCCACTGACTTCTCCCCTTCTAAGTAACCATGGTCTGCAGATCGCGGTTGCTAGGGTTTAACTGCGATAAAGTAAAGGTGCCAAAGGGTGCTAGCAACAGCCGAGGCAGTGGCCATACGGCTATCTAATCAAGTGCTGTATTGTCAGAGGGCGCTAACACAAGCACTTTCGCTTCCGTGGCTGACGCCAGATGGCGATCGCCTATCGCCGCCACCCTAGGGTGACAGTCGTTCACTCCCTGCAAATGACAGTAATTATTACCCAACGTACCTGGCCCATGACCAGTGTTCATAACCTATCCTTATATCCTCCCCTGTACCCCATTCCCCAACACAAGGACCCCTACATGCCAATCTCGGCATGCGGCCGACGTGAAAACGATGAGTTGTAATCAAAGGACACTTTTTAACCCTAACCAACTGAACGAATTTTATTATCCCCGCAAATGTACTGACCTGAGGATGACTTATTAAAAAAATATGTCTGCCGAGTAAAGTTTTCAAGGAATCGGGTTCGCTGTTGCCTGTGGTAGATTTGTACACGCATGTCATCAGTTTACTTGTTTCTAGTGTTTTATTTTCAGAGACTTTTGCTCGTTCATCTGCTGAGTAAATACACAAACGTATAACTGAGTGTCTTCGGTAACTGGGATCCCCCTGCTTTTCATGGTGCATAGCTAGAGCAGCAAGTGTTTCTGCTACATTAGCTGACAGTACTACTGCTGACGCACTCGTCCGCAAATTATTCACTGGAATAACATCCCTGACCACTGTAAAAAAACAACGGCCTTAGTCCTCTGTAAACCCATGAAAACCCGGTGTCTATTCAACAGGACATTGACATTCAGATTTTATATGGTTTGTCCTGTTGCTCACGTCAGCAACTGCTGCCTTCACCCGTTTCAAGGTCAAGCCACTACATCAAGTTTTGGCATTAGTCCCTGTGAGTACTCGAGCCAACCAGAGTGGACCGTTTCCTGATTGGCTACATGAACAAAGCATGCGCTGAGATTTCGGCAGTCCCCTGTGCTCTCATCATTTCAGTCGCGAAGTTGTGGCCGGCGGTTGTCTGCCCGTCTGACAATCACGTTTATCTCAACTATTCTCTATTACGTCTGTACAGAAGGAACTGGTCCTACCACTCTGGCCTTCTATTACTTCTCTTCTCCCAAGGAACCGAGCCTGAAGACTGCAGTTGCTGGCATTTAAGTGACTTAACTCCCTGCGACAAAAAGGCTTCCCGATTTGTCTGATAATTTGCCACCACCAAGGCTGCAAGCACAATTTTCGAATGATTCGATTTTCAAAGGACATCATATGATATATATGTATATATTTTGTGAATGTTGAAGTGTTTTTTTTTAACATTTCACATATGTGACATAAGGACAAACAGTTTGTGTGTTGTTTATCGCAGCTTCTTAACCGGCAGGATCATCGTGGCGCGACGACAGACGAATTTTCATCCCGAATGGCTAGTAAAACGTGTTTAATTAAATAAAGTGAACACCCAGTATAATAACCGAAAGGAGGATACAGATTGAGAGCGCTACGAAGAGGCCCACAGCGATTTTGCAGCCCAAAGTGGCTTTGTGTGACCCTGATAGTTGGCTGTTTGTGATTGAAGGTGTGGCCATTGGTCCCTCCTCCGCATGGTCAACGATATCGTAGGTTGTAGAGTTTGAGGGCATCACCATGGAATCTAAGAGATGCATTGCCATTGCCTGGGAACGATTCTCGCATACGGTAAGGGAGAAGAGGGATTGAGCTCGACGATTGGAGGGGGAGTAGTCCGGACCGGTGTATATCCGGGTGTTTCTCGCGGTTGGATGCTCATAGGGATGCTGTTCGGGTGATGCACATGTAATGGAACGCGTTTCCATATTTTCTGACAGTATTTTGGGCAGCGAATTGCCCTTGGGGATGAAAAGGTACTTCGATGTGTACCTTTGCATTTGATCGGGTTCCATCTTTTTAGAGTGCTATAGGTGAAAAAAAAAGATTAAACATTTCAGCATTCTACAAGAAAGGAGAGAGAGAATGTTTGTTCGTCAGTTCTTTTTGAAGCAAAGCATCTTCTAGAGAAAAACAAAACGAGCCACGCTTTCCAACTGTTAAAAAAGGTTAATCGACAATGATTTCTCATTTGTAATTTAGTAACAGTTGGCAGGTCGACTAACTTTAGGTGCGCATCGAAAACTCGCAGATTTTCTTTATTGTGTTGAGATATAAAAGCAATATAAATCATAAACGTCTTGCATAAAATGAACCACTTGCTATTGCGGTTGAAAAATTTGATTATTTTTCGGCTACCTCTAATTTACTGAGGTGCACTTGTATCCCACCTAACTACAAAACACTCTTTACACCTTTGCTAGGCTTATTCTTAATAGTTTCTTTTTAACGCTGAACTGCTGCAAAATGTTGACGCATTATTATATTATCGGCGAGGAGTAGAAACTAATGCCTATTCTGAAAGCAGTTATGAACTCGGAAAATGTCTGTTACGCCCCAATGTGCGATAATGTGAACCAGGTTGGCTGTTCAAGTTTGAGTTTCTCGTGGTCAACAATCATTGTGAAACGGATATTTGCTGCAAAAGTACTTCTTCTGCGTTTCATATGTGTAGAAACTCTATTGAGTGATGTTCTACTCCGATCAACGGAAAAAAATTGAGAAACCTCCTCACGATAAGCCTGAACATAGATTGATATATTGCGCTTCTGTAACGGCTGTCATAATTCTGACAGACTAGGACACACCGTAGTCGATTGCAGAATGCTTAAGCGGATCATAGAAAGTTTCTTAATAGAGATTGGTGTTTACCCTCTGGACTATGCAGAAGCGGTGAGTGATGGAAAAGTAAAGGAATGTTAAAGGTTCACAGAGAACGGAAACAGAAGCTCTGAACCTTTACAATAATATATTTTTAAAGTATTGATTCAAAAATTTACTTTTTCCATATGAGTTCTTATAAAGATGGCTATAAAAGGAATACTTATAAACTACTATAAACATGAAACCTCATTGTCGAGCAAAAAGAACGACCACACCGAAAGTTTGACATTGTTATGTCTAGCAGCAACTAAATAATTCTTTATAATAGGTGGGCCCTGTAAAAAGCATTTTAACTTGATATTCAGCTCACGAATATCTGTGTATTTTGCCTTTTTCAAGGCAACGTCAAAGCGAAAAGGGAAATTTTTGCCAGCTTTTTTTGATTTCTCTGAAAATTAATAATACAGTTTTAGTTGGAAATGGACGACGTTACGTTTACCTTTAAATTAGAGGGCTTATCGCCATATCCATTGACCTGGAGGCACGTGCTAAGATTGAAAATGAACCAAAAATGGCTTAAATACTGAGGTTTTGCAAAAACTCTTAGTCTTTTTTCTATTCCGTTACTAAATTACGCATTAGTGAAAACCATTTTGTACGAATAGTATTTTACCTCGTGCGTGTAATTTAACGATATCCTTTTCATTTTTGTATTATAATCCCAAATCTTTGATGCGGTTAAGCAAAATATG